GCATTTTGAAGAAAAGGCTGCGTCGCTGCGCTCACTAGCTTTCAGACACATGTTATTTTTCTAGAGACAACAGATTCGAATTTTGCTCTCTGCTGGTGTGCTTCTCAACCAAAGTCAAGCTGATACCGCCTCAGTTTGTTCAGTGGAGCTGTGTGGCCGCATGTGTGCAGCGTGTTGGTTTGAATTGATTGGCACGGACCCATTTGGCTTAGGCGCCATAGATGTCACATGATTGCCTGAATGCGTTGTGTCATACTCACTCTCTGCACGCAAGAGTAACTCTTTCACATTCTCTAGGAGCAGAGCAAGATCACGCCAGGTGCGGCCTGACTGCAGACATTGCAATGCCTTTTTCCTTCAAAGTCAACTTCCCACTGTAGATGAAAACGTGACCATCCTGGTCGCCAGCAACAAGGACTCAGTGAATTCAAGATATAGTTCAAGTTACTGTATTTAGTTCAGGAACTTGTTTCAAACCAACTACTCTAGATCCTCATAGGTTCTATTAGATTTGCAAGTGTTCAGCTTCACTGGCCGCTGGCGCGTTGCCCACCCTCAAGAAGAACATATCATTTATCCTTTGCATTGCATGGTGTGTTCGTCCTCGTGTTTCTACTTGCTTTCCGGCAGGGCATATGACTATATATGGACAAGTGACCAGGCACCACCGGTCAAACGTACCACTCACCGTCACTCAAAACGCACCGCATCACTTCCGAATTTCCGACACAAACACACATTCTGACCACTGGCGTGGCGTGCGGGCATGTGTACCACCTCACCACAGGCAGAAACTACCAAAGAGCACATAAAGAGCACCACTTACGCATTTCAAACACAGTGAACGGCAGTAACAGTAGCAAACATCTCGACTAGCAGTCTGCCGACTTGCTAGTGACACTGCGTCATGACTCATCCTTTTCAGACGCATGGCGTTGTGAAGCTGGCTCAGAAATACAGCAACCATAACTTTGCCATCCATACAGCACAGCGCTGCAACAGAAGCTGCGTGGTGGTGGTGAATCTAAACACCCTGACCTCCTGCTCGCAGTGCCACTCGGCAAACCAATATCACTCTTGGAGCCAATCCCTGGAAAGGGCACCTCTCAGTGCAGTATTTTCTTCATACAGATGCCATACCTTACAACACAATTTGGAAAAGAACTGCGCCACTGCACCAGCCCATTCTCACTCTACAGCTTTTGAGGATGGCTTGGCCTGTTGAGCAACATGTTTTGAGGGCCCTAAAAGCGCAGACTTGCTGCTTCGGGACATTGTCAAGTTTGAGGAATCTGTCTGACATTTTTTGCACGTATTCAAGAGGTGGAATGATTACTGTAAGATTTAAGATTTATACTTTTCAGCTGGGGGTCTGACAGTCTTGAATCCTTGCACAACTTGTAGATTCTGGGTGACATGTAAGTGGTGTATCTTAGCAAATCCTTATTCTTGGAATAAGAGTGCAGCCGGGGATCATTTTGCTCAAGATGTGCGATGTTCGTTCTGCAGCTGGCACAACATCTATTCAAAGTGTTGTCCTTTGCCAAAGGGTCTTTGTATGTCTTTGTTTCTCCTATGTTTACAACACGAAAGGCCTCTTTAGGACCTTGGGAGCACCTTCAAAACTCATGCCTGCCACGAAGTTAGATCCTTGGTTAGCGCTCCATCATTTGAGAGACAATCTATATTGGATGAATGTTTCATCACTTGCCTCATTTGAGCGAGGTGAAGGGTGGAGAAAGGCGGCTTTGTTATGTTCGGTCAGCCAAAATGGTCGATGTCAATGCCAAACCAGCCAAACTTGAACTGTTTGAAGCTCACTCACTTGCCAGCCACAGAAAGCACGACTGGTGGAGAGGGGGTAGGCCTCCCCACCCCCTCCTGTTTTCTCAAACCAACATGCGAGTCACGCCAAGCAGAAAGGAACATTGTACAAGTATAAGTATAACCTTAGAAGGAAAATTAAGTTTGTATATACAAGTTTGTACAAGCGTTGAAGGCATATTGTCACCATCTTGGGTTGCACGCCAGCCGGCTTGGGGCGCTTAGAGAATAATTGCCTTGGATTGCAGGGTGACGAAGCCATACCGGACTCAACTCCGCAAAGTGTTTCTCAGAAAGCCAGCCAGCATTGCAAAGACCAGCTAGCAGCTAGCTGGCACCTCACGAGATTCTCGTTGATGTTTCTGTGTTGTTTTGATTGCGGTTCTTTATTTTGTTTAAAGACCTTTCTTTGTTCAATTTGTTTTCAATTCCTTCACCTTCCAGGAGGGCTTTTCGAGAGTCAAGCTTCGCTTTGACGAGTCGCTCATCAGCGTTCCTTCGTGCATGGACCGGTGTTTTGGCCGGCCCTGGGCATTTGTTGGGCTTGCGCTCTTTGTTGCCGCGCCTCTTGGGAGCATCTCTGGAGCTGACAGGGTTAGCGATGGCCTCCAACCCAACGAGGATGCACGAAGTCTAGGTTTGATTCAATCTTTAAATTGGGACGAACGACGCTGATGGAGCGATTTGAGAGCTCCCACTTTAGGCTATTGGCTTGCGGCTTTCACTTTTCACAGCCTTTATGCCGCGAAGTGCCACCCCATGCCTCAAATGTTGCATGGGATGCAGCATGGGCCCCTGAACTGGCGCAGTGCAGAAGGCCTCTGAAACCAAGAGAGGTCCAGGGATTGAAGAAAGTGCAAGTTTTTTGTTATGGAATGCTTTGCCTTTGCTCTTGTAATGAGTCTGTGGTAAAATGCAGGGTTTGGCACATTGTCTCTCTCTCTCTCTCTTTCTCTCTCTCTCTCTGTCTTTTATTTGGTGATGCTTTGTTGAGCAAAAATTGTCCAATTAAATTAGCTTTGGTTTGGGATTGACTGCAAGGCCTGGCGAACTTGGATACTGCACGGATGCATCATGACGTATCCATGGAACCCTTGGCACAACGACCCCTTGGAGTATAAGTTCCGCTGCCTAGTCACTTGTTGGAAGCTATTTGCCATCTAGAATCTGTGTTTAGCTTTCGTATCCAGGAAGAACAGACCGCAAGAAGGCTTTACAAAGCTTCACCCTGTTTTTGCAACCCATTTTTTGCTAAAACAGAGCGATTCCGCCTTCCAAGGGTCACTGCATGCGAGCAAGGCCTTGTGCAAAACCCGAAGCCCGAACCAGAACCTGTGGTAGACTAGGGAGCTGTTGACTTGGCCCAGAGATGCCTAGGTTTTGACCGTCAGCTTGGGGCTGACCATGTGCGTCTCCACGCTATATGGCCACATGTTCAGCTACTGGGACTCCACTGTGAGCACTCAGCCCTGGGAGCGTACATCCGAAGATTCTGGGCAACAAGCCCCAAGCGTGCAAGGCAGGCAACGTCAGGAAACACTGCACATGCTGCCCTTTTGTAATGGCCTCCAAACTAATAGCCAATGGCCTCCAACCTAGTAGCTTTTTGTTACTAGTAGCTACTTGTTCCTAGTAGTAAGGCCAGGAGCCCGTAGTAGCGTCCTTGCTCCTAGTAGCGATGCCAGGAGCCCCTAGTAGCTTCTTGTTACTAGTAGCATGTTGCAATATTGCTTGCAGTTGGCTTTCGCTAGCACTTCGCTTCTGCAAATACCGGACAGTGGGTGACCTTGAGTCTAAGTTTGTCAGCCCTGGTGTTTATAAAGACTCTTTGGACAGTGGAGATGCGACATGCTCTCACAAGGTGCACTGCTGGTGTCCATCCTTTCCTCCTTGGTCGAGGGAGTTCTTCGGATGCTTGCATTGGCACTCTTCCGCTCCTCTTTGGCGTGTTCTCGCCTACAGAAACGCTGGCGGGTGAAGGCATCCCGATTGCTTCAGAAGTCTCACTTTGGATGAACACCAGATGGACATATTTCTGTACATTGCGGGGGGGGGTAGGCCGGGACTGAGGACAGGCTTACGAAGCTAGTGAGCTGGTAAGCAATTTGGTTCATCATGTTCAGATTTTCGCCGAAGCTTTTCTTCAGATTTCATTGGTTCCAGCAGGCGCCCGCTCTTGTGGTGGCTGTAGCTGTCGTCATTGCGTGTATTGCATACCCGCTGGGATTGGCAGCTTCCGGACATATTTGTCGTCACTCGGCACAAGCAATTCTTGTTTACTTGTTGTTACTGGGTTCAGCCACTGAGGCTATGTTCAACATTTGTTCTCGCAGTTCTTGATTTCACAAGCAATCCGGGGCATCCCCTTGGCCATTGCTGCTACTACACTGCAATACCTGTTGCTGAAGGCCGGAATTTAGGGTCGCTTTTGAGGGTCGCTTGGGAGCTGCTTTTCAACACCCATTAGAGCAATTCTAGACACTGCACTTCTTCACACTTGCCAGCAGGCCTTTGGCAAAGCTGCGGGGTCTCTTGAGCCAGCCGAGTTCGATGAAATGTCAGAACTTCATAGTTAGAGCGTGTCATAACTGATGTCGTTGTGCACGAACTGAGCCGACATGACATCGGTCAACATGTTATTCTGTACCTGTGAGGGTGCGAGGGGCTGCTCAGGTGACTCAATGTTTGGTCAGCCGGCGCCATGTCTCAATCTGTCCGAGAAATCAGAGATCTGAGAAATAAGTGCGTCAAAATGCACCACCTGGCTTGCTTGGCGCAGCCGCGCAGCTCCACAACCTCAAGCCGCTCAAGCCAAGTTGCTGTGCCAGTAACGGTGTCAGCCAATCCCAGCCATGGCCTATCTTTCTCAGAACGTTGGGGATTCGACATAGCACGAAGGCCAACTAAGTGTGGCGAGGGCGACTGGAATAACCGATGACCATGCCCTCATCCAAACGAGTTCTGCGGTGCTTGCTTCTTCCCTCTTTCCATCTCTTTTAAAATTAATGGACCTTGATGAACTTTGTGTGTCAGGCGAACCTCTCCAAGATCTGCAGTGCTTACCGAACACTTTGAGCGCTTTGTGCCGTCGCACTCTCTATCATGCCTAGATCGCCTAGATCCCTGACTGCCTTGTAGAGGGATGCGTGAACAATATCGACCGCTTTAGGTGCTGCCCAAGAGATGGGAGACATCTCGATGGCGTGTAAGCCGAAATCATTGGCCATGTGGTCCATCGCCGTCGCAGAGATGTGGCTCAAGGCCGGCAGTTAGAAGACCACAACCTTTGGATTCATCCAGTTGGCAGGAGAAGAGACCGGCGCTCAGGCAACATTGAGTCTAGATGGTAAGATCGCCTTAGCAGGAGTTACTGTAGGTGAATGGCCTTTGAAATGCTCTCAAGAAGGCCCAGAGTGTGGTGCGCCCCCTACCCGGCTCCCTTCCTTGTGCCGAATGCGAGCTGAATGGGAGATCCTCCCAGGAGCTTATGAGCTCACGTGTGTTCCAGGTGCGCCCTGTGGAGTTGGTGGCACCCAATCGGATTCAAGGGATGCCCTGACTTAGTAATTGAATGTAATTGACATGGTGCCGCCTATTTGCACCTATTTGCCCAAAGAGGTGGCTAGGGTTCTAAGTGTTTGGCTCGAACATTGTTTGTTTATGCAGCTGTGCGGGCCTCACGTTCCCTGTGTTGACACACCATGCACGGGTTCCTTTTGCGGTTTATTCAGGGGAAGAATTTGACAAGGATAGGTCTATGACGGTCTATGGTTAGCTATCAGACGTTTTGCCGCTTTGCCATATTCCGAATATCCTCGCAAATCTGTTCTTGCCATATTGCAATGCAGACCTTACTGGAACCGAAACGAGCAATCTACATGCCAGAGTATACGGGGCAAGACTGATCAAGTTCTTGCGCCATCGCTTCGTGGTAGTTCTTTGAACGTGCGGTAGAGGACGCTACTAGGAACAAGGTTCGCTACTAGGGGCTCCTGGCATCGCTACTAGGAGCAAGGACGCTACTACGGGCTCCTGGCCTTACTACTAGGAGCAAGTAGATACTAGTAGCAATCCACTGACCTCTGCAGTTCTTAGTTCAACCGGGAGCAGCTTGCACCCCCCAATGCGTGGCCCTCGAAACAGGGGGGCTGCTTGTGGCTTGGGCATTGATTCAACAATGGCTTCGGCCTCGCTTTGGGGAAGATTTGTTCTGTCCTTTTTTACCTCTATCTATATACAGTAAGTCTTCAATGTTTTCAAGTCACTGAGGTAGAGTAGCATGTCAGCGCTTAGTGCGTCGAAATCTGGCGCACGCAGCGCGCGCGGCCCAAAGCGGATCGACTTATCTGGCTATGGCACTGTCCTCAGTGCGCTCATCACTCGTTGCAGTGACATGTCTCTGTTGAGCACAAAGGGCCTGTCGGAGGCCATCGCTAGCAGGTTTGAGGTTGGAGGCCATTGCTATTAGGTTTATGAAGAGAATCCGTTTTTTCGACTACCAGTCCTACCAGTCCTCCAACTTATGGACACGGATCGTGCATGGTCGAAAGGCTGCTTGCCTTCCCGAAACGTGTTTGAACATGGCTCCAAGGCGCACATTGCATTCGAAGAAGGCTTTGCATTCGATAGTCCCGGGGTCTATTGGAAGAAACCCAGCCCTTTCAAGGAATTGAGCACACTGCCCGAGCTTAAGCTTAGGTGCGCCTCTCAGCGCCAGGTGGGGAGATTCCTGATGTCAGGATAGCCTCCACCCTAGCAGCGATGACCTCCAACCTATTAATTAGGATCTATTATACAGGTGTTTTGGACATGTTCAGCTCTTGTTTTTTTGATGCTTTTTTGGAAGGCTTGGCTAGGACCTTCTTGAGGACATCTTGTCATATTGTTATTTTCTGTGCTTCTCGGGCTGCTCTGTGGCAGGGGGACTTCAAGCGATAGAGGTCCAGCATCAAAGATGCAGACTCTGCCAAGTATCTGGGTTCAACATGGTTTAACCATTCAACAGTTGATGACTCTTGACAGTCAGACGGTCCACTCAGAAACCCTCCTCAGCAACTGACTAAATTATGTGGATTGGAGCCTCACCGATAGTTCAACACGGTTCAACAGGGCTGTAGGGCTGTGACTTCTTTGCTGCAACCGCATTGTTGCAATGTGTTTCTCTTAGAAATGATGGATTGGAACTCGGCCTTTGTGAGTGACTGCCCTGATCCCTCACGGGACGAATGAAGGAGAAAGTATTCACTTGCAAACACTTGCAACTCACCACGGCATCAGTGCACCATGGTATTCCCACAATTTTCTTGTTTTTTTTAAGCGTTAGACTTCTTCTGCAACCTAAAAGCGATGGCCTCCAACCTAATAGCGATGGCCGCCATGGTGTTTTACTTTGTTTCAGCTTTAGCAATTCAACTTGCTCACATTCGTTGATACCTTCCAACGACAAGTCATGCGTTGATGTATCAACAGCGCAGCTAAGGCACCACACTGACACCAGCGCCAAGTGTAAAGCGCAAACCTAGCGAGGCCCGAAAAGTATGCTTTGACATTGACATGGCTGGATTTTGTGTCAGGCGCATGTCCACTTTTCTCCTTCTCTCTTTTAGCAGTAGTAGTGCCAAAAAGACCTTGGTCAACTTGACGATTTTGCCAGATCGTTGCAGCCGCTCGGCAAGCTGGTGGGCTCATGACGCTGGAGCGCCAGGACTGTCTCTTGAATTTGAGGATAGCACGTACGGCCCACACACACACATATATATAATATATAGATAGGTGTACGGTGTACTGCATATATATATACATATGTATATATATATATAGATGGTGGTATCCTCTTCCAAGAACTTTCACAGTTGGCGGGCTTCAACATAGCACACTTTCAACGACCGGCAGACTTTCCGTACATTCACCGTGCGATGAGCGTTGGAATGCATCTTTTGGAGGACCTGGCAACAACGAGAATTATTTCTTTTCAAGACATGAACGACTTCACGCATCAGGCCGCCTGCTTCACGTTGGTTTCACCTCTTTGGACCTAAACTTTAGCCTTCAGACTTAAAGGGAGAGTCCTCTTCCCTACATCACTGGTAGTAACAAGTGCATCGCTAGTAGTAACAAGGGCATCGCTAGTAGTACCGCTCTTCCTAGTAACTGAATAAGTAGTTACTAGTAGCTTCCAGCTACTAGTAGCGATGCCCTTGTTACAGACTTCACCCATCAGGCCCTGTTGAAAGTGGAGTGGGTGGGCCACGCAACTAAATCAATGGAAGAGACTTTGGGTAGCTTTTCACAGCATGCCTTCTTCAGAACCACTCCCTTTGCTTCAAGCACCGCTTTTTGATCTTTTTTTTGGCTCTGCTCCAAGAATATTTTGAGTGAAAAGTAGCAGAGCAGTGGTTAGTAGGTTGGAGGCCATTGCGCCTCCTTTTTCTCATTTTTCAGGTGGACTCGGTGGTTCCAATGGACGAGCCGCTTTTCAAAGCGAGTCCTTCCGAGATTCGATTTGCAAATTTTGCAGCTCGACTGCGCAATGTTTCGTCCTTCCGGTGATGAATCAGTGAGTTCTTGAATTCAAATGCTTCACAGCGCAATGATCTGGCAAAGGAGAGTCTGCAGAACCTGGATGCCACACTGAACTTGCGCAATCAAGACAATGTGGCAAGAAGGGCCTGTCAGCTGCACTAAAGCTTCAAAGAATGAACATATAGAGGAAAACTACTAGGAGAGAAGGGCTTTTCTACTAGGAACAAGAAGCTACTAGGGGCTCCTGGCATCGCTACTAGGAGCAAGGACGCTACAGTTGCAGAGTAGCAGCAACAACGCCTCCTTGAGGTGAAAATCCTGCAGCCAGATAGCACCTTTTTCAAGGTCTTGCCGGGCAAAGGCCGCAAAGCTGACGCTGGAGACAACAAGGCGTTAAATGACAACGCTGTGGGGAGGGATAGGCCGTAGTATGAGGGGCAGTGAATAAGTTAAGGAGCAAGCTAAGTAGTGGAAGCTACTGCCTGCCAGCACATGCAAGCGCATGCAAGAATCCAGAAGAGCGAAGGGCTCGGGGAAATAGAGTTTTTGTTTGTGTCATTCCGTCATTCCATATCATTCCACATCATCCCCTCGCAACTCAGAGCATGCAAGCAAGCTTCTTGGTGTTGGGTGGGTTCTCATGATTTAGTGATAACAAATGAACAGTATGATTTCTTTCAAGTAGAAAAAAAGAACCAAAAGAAAGAACGGATTGTTTTAATTTAAGCACCTTTTTGATTTCTAAACACTTAGTATTTTTTTTCAGTATTAAGGGGTGATGACGTCCGTGGTGAGGTAGCTCCTGGAATGGAGGTGTCCTACATAGCAGCTTGGCTGTATTTGGCGGTGGCCGTGGCACGCCTGCTTTCATCTCCTTTCCCTGCATGCTCATTTGCTGATGGTCTTCCATACTTGCCAGTTTGCCTAAGAAGAAGTGCTAGGTGACAGACAAATGCCAAGCTGCCAGTCTTTTCTTTTTCGATGCAACCGCCAAAAGGCATTGCGGAAAGCCCTTTGTCAACCTTTTGCGATGTTGACTCGAGGTGCGCTTCACTCCAGATCAGCAGGCATGACTGAACTTTCTGTAAGTTGCAAATAGTCTACTGTACACGGTTGCCGGCACATTCTTTACTGCAACCATTACTCATGTGATGCTAGGTCGAAGACTATTCTTATGACTTGGTGGTGATCACCGAGCTGCTCAGCAGAAGCTCCATCCAACTCCCGGGACTCTAAGCCTCTAAGCCCTTCGTTGCTGGCAGGGACCCGAGTGGCTGGACTTCTGAGGCGCGAACGATTCCTGGTGCCCATCCGTGCCACGGGCGGTGGCGCTTTGTTGGACATGCCCGATGAATTAGACTTCGGCCTGTCACCTGTGAAGTACGAGGCGCCCAAAACCATTATGGAGCCTTGGTGGCCATGAGGGCGACTTACAGACACAGTATGTCACGTAAAGCACCGAGCCCGTGATGCAGAGTGCACGGATGTTAAGAGCGATGCCGCAAGAGTTGGCAGCTAACAGAACCATGTGTTACCTGCACTTAGGTCCGCAATGTCGGAGAGAAACCCACAAAGTTCTTACTCAAGGCCATGGCCTCAGCACCAAACATTGCAATGTAGTCAACAGTGGCAATGACCAGGTGAGGAGCTGGTCCAGGTGTTTGAACTGTTAACCATCCAACATCCACAAAAGGGAGGAGCGAGATCAGAATCGACACGAAGACCTTATTGGATGGTCGACAAATACAGCCTGCCATATAATACTAATACACCAAGCCATCACAGCCTCCCGTTGGAGCCCCCCTGATTTCCCAAGGTTCCGCCACCCTTCAGCACGTCCATTCAAGATGGCTATCTCGAGGTTGGCGAGATCATGCAGGCTTGGGAACAGCTTTGTTGGAGTCAGAGCTTTTCTGACAGTTTTGAGATGGGCTTGTAAAGGCCTACTGACCTACTGTATCTCAGTTTTTGATTGCAGGTAGATGTGGTTTTCAGACCCGACAAAGCAGAGCCCTATGAGTCAGCGGGCCAAGTTTGACTTTGAACTTAGGTCATTGTTTGTTTTCATCAATTTTCATATATCTCTCTCTCTCTCTCTGTCTTCGTGCCATGCTGCTCATGTCAATTCTTCCGTTGTTTGTTGATTCACAGCAGGCTTGATGACTATTGATGACTTAAGGCGAGAGATGGTTGTGATCTATGGGGATGGAATTGAGGCCTATGTCTCCCTGCGCGGCAGAGCTGAGAGCTTTGCCTGACAATTCCGCCTGTTGACTGGCAGATCACATGCAGATGGGAATTGGTTCTCAATCTTTGGAGCTGCTAGCTGTTTCTGCCTGGTTTGTCGCTCTTTGTGGCCAGATGTCCTGCTACTCACCTCAGTTCACCTTCATCATTCCCAGTGTCACGCATCGTCTGACCCACCTGTGGAGCTAGAAGCCTCATTGGCTGTGGCTATTGGGAGAACCGGCGCCCAGCCACTATCGATGTCCAGGCTCCTCACCCAAGGAACCCAGCCCTGTGCTTCATCAATCGTTGGAGGCGCTCTTGTCAGCGTGCCCAATGATTGCCCCCACATGTTCACACCCAAACAACTGCCGTGGTCGTTGGAGCAGCTTTCTCATGTGATGCACCTCAACAAGGGACCTAACATAAATTCAAAATTGCAAGCACCACCCAAATCGTCGTGGAATGAAGGGGCTTCCAATTATGCAAGCTAACCTCCTAGAAGTGATGGCGCATGAGTGGCTGCAGCCTTTAAAGCATGAGGATAAACACAAGTCTTGGTCCCTCTTTTCCTGGGCGTTGAATTCTACATGCACGATTCCTTGGAAGATGAAGTGGGACACAACATAACAACCTTCGACAGACCTTCGACAGACCACGGCAAATTCCGACTGTTCTTGGGCATGGTGCTGGCTTTTCCTTTCCCTGCATTCCCAGGTTGTGTTTTGCTATGCTTCATTGCACCCTGAGGTTTCCCAATGATTCCAACGTTTTTTCCTGGTTTCTTAAATCAGTGCGGGTGTCAAATCCCGACTTTGCTGCTTGAGTGGCCCAATGTTGGGCCCCCAAGGAATGTCAATGTGACTTTCTCGGCTGCTCGGCCACAGAAATTCATTTCAAGCGGGTCATGCGAGTCCATGTTGCTCATACTGGGAGAAAGAGTATGTTTGTGCTAAGGCGAATATGAAACCGGTATATACAGCTATATTCAAAGTTGTGACTTAACACCCCATCAGAAAAGTTCACAGGCACGTGTTTTTTTGCACTGCAAGAATCAACGCTGTGCAGAAAATGGATCAGACAGATCACATTTGTGGTTTCCATTTCTTCCAAGACACATGCTGTTTGCGGTATTTTTCGGACATTGTCAAGCCTAGCCTTCTGGTATATAGTTGCTGTTCCCCATATTTTCTGCAACAGTCAGAAGCCAAGTCCAGGTGGTGGCAGCGGCGGCGTACAGTGTCGGATTGCCAAAGAACGGCCTTCAATTTATTAAGTTAGCTCAATTACGTTGGTGAATGCAACTGGAGCTTTCAAAATGCATTGGCAACTGAGTGCCAAAGTGGGTTCCATATCAAGTGTGAGTACTTGAAGTGTATGGCAGTGTATGGTTTCAAAATGCATTGGCAAGGGCTGCATCCCCCCAAAACAGTGGAGATTTCCGGGTTTACATTTGAGAGAGAGAGAGGCAGGGTTTAGAGAGATTACCAATGGTCACCACTATACCCTTCTCCGAACCACAGCTCAAAACGGAATGTGTTACAAACCAAATCACCACACATCAGGTTGCGTCGCGTCACTTCGCACGTCACGCTTCACTACATTGCTGTAATGCATGTAACCACCTCACAAATCAAATATAATTCGCGTCACTACACCATAAGTCACACACCGCGTCACAAATCACCACTCACCTTGCCAAATCACAAACCACCCCAACATATTCCGCGGGTACATCACTGCCCCCAGGGTGCATCATTGCACCCTTCTCTTTTTGAAATTGCTGGCGCGCCTTGTTTTGGATTGTTGTGCACCAACATACACATGAAGACAAGAGGAGCAAAACATGCACAGGCATGCATACATTTTGTGCTCTGTATGCGCTCATGTTCTTCAAATCTTTGGAAGTGCTCAACATTCGAGGCAAGCCAGCTGCAATTGGAGGATACCTTCATCGTGTTTTAGATGCATTTTGTGACTGATTCTGACCAGTATGGGATGCCCGGCTCCACCTTACCCCGCGTCGCCATGCGTTGCCATGCGTCGCCATGCGCCATGGGTCGCATGTCTTTGAGGCTTTGTCGACGCAGAAGACGATCGTGATCCACAACAACTCAGAGATTCCGGTGGATTTTAGCTGGCGTGCTTTCCCCTCCATCCAGGAGGAGCGCAGGTGAAAAGGAACCTAGCGATGGCCTCCACCCTAGCGGCAGAGATGGCCTCCAACCTAATAGCGATGGCCTCCAATCTTCAACATCTCGGTTGGCCCTGTGACCACTGTAAGCCAATGCCTTTGTAGTTTGGATAAAAGGTGAGGAGTGAACCTGAATCTTGCCATCTAGTCATCCTTGCCTTTGGGTCTTTGAGAGGAGATCAGCCAAAAGTTGAAGCTACAGGCAGGGGAGCTCGTGAAGTTAAAGTTAGGAACCTCTTTTGTCAAGTGAGTAGATATCCATTGGGATGCCATTGAATGTGGTGGTTCACGTTGTGGCAGCCTGCTGAAGACTTCGTTCCAAGGTGCAGCTGAAACAAGAAGAACAAGACGAGGCTTCAGCTATACAAGAGCTACACTCCGCAGGCCGGGTGCAAGTGCAGTTGACATGTTGGGATGGCGCACCCCGGCGCGGAGGCGAGTCAGAGGCAGAGTCGGTCTTGAGCGATACTTCCGAAGAGTATGATACCAGGTGTACATCGCCACGTCCTGAGTTTGCTGAGAGCATGGATTATCTAGCGAAGCGACATTCAGAGATATGGATGGCCAAAAGGTTATAATGTTATCATATATGCTATCATAGCTGGAACTTGAAGGAAAAAGTAAAACGACAAGAAAGGAATGAAAGGCATTATAAAGGTGTTGAAGAAAAACAAAACATATCAAACGAACAGACACATGCTGTCATATTGTCCTGTTCATTTTCTTTCCAAGCTGCGGGAAGCAAAAGGATGAGGCCACCAGCAACCAAATGCTGGATAAAAGGCGTTGAATGTTGTGTCTTTTGTCACCATTTTTTGCCGAGGCTGAAAGGAATTGAGATGGCCCAAGGGGCCCTCCAAAGAAGACACTGGGCATCACTTGGCCGAGAGGGCACAATGTCATCACTGCAAGCGATGGCTGTCCAATCATTGTAAATCACTGCTCAAGGGTATTTGCTCAGGCTCCCAAGCTTGAAGCATTGCTTCCATGTTCCTTACCCTACAGTTTCACTCCAGATTGATTTGTGATCTGTGTGATGCAGTGTAACACAGTGCGAGATAGTGTGACTTGCGATTTTTTACAAGGAAATGCCGGAAAAGTCGAGTCTTTTCCCTCCTTGTTTTCGTCTTATAGACCTTTCTGAATCGCTTCTATGATGTTTGAATCATAGCGCTACATCGAAATGACTAAGGATACAAGAACATTACCAAGGCGATCCTGGAGGATTGGAGTCCCGGAGCCACATGGAGCCACCTTTTGGACCTCGGAACACAGGCACCATGCCGGTGGAGAGCTGACTTGCTGTGGCCAGGACCCCATGTTCTTCTATGATGAGATCTTTGCCGTCGAGCCACTGTCTGGGCGCATTTGGGCCAAGTCCAAGATTGCAATTACATTTACCTTCACGCCAAAGGCCTGTTGGACACGAGCACGAACGGGAGAAGAGGTTTGCAATAGACCTGGACGCTATTTGCCCTCATGCAACAGGAAAAAAGTTCAATTTTTCACGAAAGCTAGCATGCTAGCTGAGTTCTTCTTTGCTTTAGCAATTGGTAGTGGGATGAGCTGTGTGCCTTAAAGCTTGATATATCACGCTACCCCCCCCCCCACGGTTCGACTCCCAGCTGCGCCGTGTAGCGGGGGTTGGTTGAACGTGTGAACGTGGTTGGTTGGGTGTAAACGGTGGCTTGGTGTAAACGGTGCTGCTGCTGCCGCTCTGCTGCTTGCTGCTGCTGTTTGCTCCTTCCGCTGGTTGCCGCTTTTGTAGCTGCTGCTTTGCTACTTGTTGCGGCTTGGCGCTGCTGCTGCTGTTGCTGACGACGCCGCTGCTGCTGCTGCTTGCTGCTTGCTGCTTGCTGCTTCCTGCTTGCTGCTTGCTGCTGCTGCTTGCTGCTTGCTGCCGGTGGTGCTGCTGCTGCTGCGGCTTGGTGCTGCGCTGCTGCTGCGTGGTGCTGCTGGCTGGCTGCTGGTTGGCGGTTGCTGCTGGCTGCTGACTGCAGGCGGCTGCTTCTGCTGCTGCTGCTGGCTGCTGCTTGCTGCATAGGACTTGTACTTCACCGTTACAAGTTGTTTACCCCTATTTCTAACCTAATGCATGCATAAGCGGGTGGTAAATTTACTCCCCAGGCGTGCTATAACCATACACAGGCTATTTCCTCAAGACACTCTATTCCATATACCTTTTACCCGTGCTTCTCCTACACTACGGACGCCCTAGTGTATGTACAGTCCGTATGATGTCAGAAATGCTTACCTCTCAAGACATACAAAAGCGGAGGGTAAATTTACCCCCCAGATTTGCCGATCACGCATCTTCTTGCCTGCCAACGAGTGCACCCGGGTTGTTCCAATGTACCCTTCCCAGTCAGCGATGTCACATTTACATTCTTTAGCGCAAAGTATGTACATAGCAACCTTCCTCCCAGAACATGTACTCACTACATGCTTTGCCGACTATGTAACTAGTACATCCGGTGCAATTCGGCTAGTTTGAGTGCAGAACGTCAGATCCTCTTCAGGTTTGTGACATTGTGCAGAACTGGAACCTGTTGTTAATCCCAACACGCAGTAGACGTGATTCGCGATATTAATTCGTGCAGTCGTCCGGACTGTGATGGTTTGACTGAGCTGGCGAGCTTTCAGGCTGCTTTGAATTACCAATGCCTTGCATACTGCTCAGTGGTTGGCCGGGCTGAGCGTCTTCCATTGCTTTTGAAAGGAAGCTTTGCAAGGCACAGCGCGAATGCTTTCTTTATTGCAGGTGTTCCTGAGTCTTGGTCACCTTGGACAAGATAAGTCTATGACACCAATTTATATCATAGTGTTTTCCCGCTGCTAGGGGGAGGCCATCCCTATTCATTGGGTTTTCTTCCACACTCCACGACCTGATGACATATTCTAAGGAACAGGAATAGGGCCCAAGGCTGCCTTCTCCTATGATGAGCTGGATGTGGGAGATATTTTCGTGGAATCCGTGCACCAGTACGAGGTGACACTGACAAAACGTTGGAAGCTGCCTTGACCACTAGAATCAAGACAAATTTAAATGGAAAAGGACGCTACTAAGGACGCTACTAGGGGCTCCTGGCCGCCGTACTACTAGGAGCAAGGACGCTACTAGTAACAAAGGGCATCGCCTCACTCCATCTCACTCCTCCAACCATCTGAAGAGGTCAACCTCATCAACCAGGGAGACATCGATGTGGAATTTCGCCTTGTTGGGCCCTGAGAGAACTTCGGTTTGGCCGGTGTGGAATGGCAAGGGGGGCGCGCACACAGCCGGGTAGTTGAAGGCTTAGGGAGCAGCTTTTGGGCACTAAAAGGGTTTTCAATTTCAAGATCTAGAATGGTGTGATTCTTGGGACGGGGACTGTGCACGCTGACTTGGAAAGGACACCAATCAGGGTCCACTTTCATCAGGGTCTGTTATGAGTGTCGAAGTGGTGGAGCTGCTATCGTGTGATGGAACTCATCTCATGTCTTTTGGAGCTGATCTCAGTTTGGGATCATTGAGGCCACAGCAAAAAAGAGTCGAACCTGGGCACCCAGCCCCGACAGGTACCAAATTCCTCGCCATTCGGATCGATCTTCAGTTTCATGCCGAGTGATGGACGACTGGAAGTTGGGGGTGTCTTGGCTTGACTTGGCTGCTCCAGGCTTGTTCCGGCAAGAATGTTTGACCCAGCTTTTATGCAATGTGTGAGTCTTGTGATTCCATGCTTTTCCGTGCTTCCAGTTCCATTCAGTCCTCTGATGATGTTCTCCTGACCAAGGTGAGTGCACCATTGTGGTGGAGGTTTGTTGAGCCCTCAGCAATCCGGAGTTGATGCATGCTACGCCAAGTTGAACCAACATGAGTCGATGCCCTGCAAGGGTGATCTGATGTTCTTCCAAACGCCGCGCCCAACGTTTTCTAGTTTTGAGGTCCAGACCTGCTGGGTGAATTTCAGGAGACATTCTATTGGGAACTGATTGGCGGCTTGCCATTGATTCAAGATTCAATTCCGACCAGTTTCAGCTGAATTCAACCAGTTTCCAGGGTGTACTGTATGCGAATTGTGTGGGAGATAGCCTTCAGAGCCGAGGCAGCACCTCGAAGATCGGGCTCAGCTTCAGGGGTCATTCGGCACCTGGGCGCAAAGGGAAGCAGATAGGGTCTCAAGAGTGGTCTCAAGGTCTTTGAAAGAACCCGCACAAAGAGAGAATAAAGAGGAACAGAAAAGGACAAACCTTCGGAGCCTCTTGGTAGCGATCAGTATCAATACAGATTGAAGATAACTCTTGGACCTGAGGTCTCTCCAACCTTCCATTTCGATTTGGACCGGATCTCCTTTGGTGTGGTGAGCTATGGCTTCCTGAACTCCAAGACCCTCACCTTGACGAACACCTCTGAGGCATTCAGTAGGGGGTCAGCTGGGCCATCCCAACAAGTTCTGGGAACTGAAGCGGGACATACTAAGCAGCTTCTTGTTACTAGTAGTACTGGCCTCCAACCTACTAGAGATGGCCTCCACCCTAACAGCGATGGCCTCCAACCTAGTAGCTTCTTCTTACTAAGAAGCTTCAAAGACATACTCAAAAGCGTCATTGTTACTGCAGGTGAAACGATTCCCAGTGAAACGATTCCCAAGCTTCTAGTCTACTAGAAAGCGGAAAGTGGGAGAAGGCGGAAGATGTGGAAGACTAGATGTCAGCACCATCCGTGATTGTGAAGATCGTAAAGATTGCATCAAAAATAACACGTGCAGGCAATTATTTTTATCATTTCGGGTCTGAACTGCCAGAGAGGTCGGCGACTTTGAACGCCCCGAACCCCACGGTCGAAACGAACACCCAGAGAGTGTCCAGACTTGGACGTTTGAATGGCTTTGACATGCTTTGACCGGTCATGGGGGGTCAAAGCCTGGCCAGGTGCCTATGAGGTTTGCCCTGAGAATACCTGGCGATGGAAGATTCACGCAGCGATGCTCGGAGTTCATGCCAAGAGCCGCTTCTTGTTACTAGTAGCTTCTTGCTCCTAGTAGCGATGCCAGGAGCCCCTAGTAGCGTCCTTGCTCCTAGTAGCGATGCCAGGAGCCCCTAGTAGCTTCTGGTTCCTAAGTCAACGTCCAGTGCAGCAAGAAGAGCCCTTGGCGATACCAATGAGGCCATGCAACGCCGAGGAATTTCCATTCCTTGGGGTAAGTTTGTGCAGTCTTTTCCCTGGCCAAGGAGAATTTGACGTGATCCCACCCAAGGGCACGCTGCTTCCAAACTGTGCGCAAAAGGTTCAGATTGACTTTGTGAGCTCGGCCCTCAGTGACCTCACTTCACTTCAGATGCTTTGGCTTGTGGAACGAGCTGTTTTGGCACGATCAGATGTATCAGAGGTATGAATGTGAAGTCCTATGACCTTTGCTTGGTGGTGGATTTGGATGGTGTTGGCCAGGAGGGCCTTGGGCTGCCGGCAGATCCAGGGGAGTGAGGGGTGTTTGCGATAAGAAGGGCTCCAAGGGGAGGGAGGCCTTGTGTTCAATTGTTCGATGCATCTCGGTTCACGCCAAATGGGTGCGTTCAGGAGCTGGCCAGTATTCCTATCCAAGCTCGCTGTGCTGTGCCACAAGTGGCGTTAGAACCTGCAGAGCACGTGGACTACGGCGACTTTGCGGAATGCTCTACCACAACTTTCATGGTCTTCTGAGTGATGGTGACTGACACATGTCATAGCCAAGCGTTTGTGTGAAAGCCCGTTGGAACAATGAGGTGATATTTTCATCCGTTATCCTTCCCACCAAACGATGGCCCGAACCCCAGCAATACTCAAAGCTGCAGTCTCCCTGCATGAGTCTCTCAGTTCAATTGATGTAGATACACCGCGCGCAGGTGCTGAACAACACGTCAGCCTTGCCGGCCAAGTTTCAGATCATGCCACAAGAAGAGACCACGTCTACACCTTAGAGTGCTAGAGTCGCCAATGCCAGAGAGATGGCAGCACCATGCACCACCAAATCAAACAAACTGACACGAAGACATGCCAAAAAGATATGGAAAGAAAGGCATTTCTGATGTTTCCGATGTAGTTCGAATGCATTACTAGCGATGGCCTCCAACCTAATAGCGATGGCCTCCAGTCTTATACCAACGGCCTCCAACCTACAATGCCTGTCACGCTTGGTGCGTTTTGATGCTTGTGGAGGCGGGCCATTGCAGAGTTCGAGCCAGACCAGTCTTTCGGCTCAGTGCCACCTGCATCCTCACATGCCGCCCGGCTTTGCGTGCCATGATGGCCGAAGGGTCGATGGATTACTTGTAAATGGCGGAAAGCTTGGGAGCAGAAAAGGAGCAGGAAAGAGGGATAGCATCGGATAGCATTTTGTTCTTTAATCTTCCAAGAGGACGTGCAGCCGAGGTCCTTACTTTCACACTCACTTCACAAGTGATTGGCACTCTGCAGATACCCATTACCATACGGATCCTGGGACAGAGTTCAGCGAGCATCCTGATTGCAATCAGCTCGTTTGGGATCTCTTTGAAGTTCGTGGTGCAACCTTGGCAAATGTCAATCTATGTCAATCTAAAAGCACAATGTGTTTTATATCTTTACAATTTTGGAACACCAAGTGTGTCAGGGTGTACTTTCCTGAAGCCTGGGAGCCGCGGGTTCGCCCCCACTGCTGCGGACGGGACAGGGGCTTGAAAAACCCGAGCCCCGAGCTTTGTATCCAGGCAGCTGCTACTGGTTGCTAGCAGCTAGCCTCATATACCTGCCTTTCTACCCGCCCTAGCCCCCTTAAAGTGAGCCTCTGCCTTACATGATCTTGAACCCTGAGCCAAGCCTCTCACATTCTCACATCTCTGCGATGTGAGGGAATTTGATCTTGATTGCCAACACCATTGGACCGATTGTAAACGTGGAGCCCAGCGTCGTAGACTGGGGCAACTCACACTGCTTGGAGCCGATTACAAGATCTGTGCTCGTCACCAACAACAGCGTGATCCCTGCCTCCGTGTCTTGGTGACCGGCAACGGGCCGAAGAATTGCAAAAGGCAAAGGTGTTGCAGATAGGCCGCCTGATGTTCACAAACTGGTCCTTGCATTGCAGCTCTTCGCACCTTTCTTCCTAAGATACGATGCATTATGAAGAGCAAGAACTCTCTTTGGACGTTGTCGCCCAAAGCCATGGAACTTCCACCACATGGCTCCGCAAACCTGAAGCTCAGCTTTGAACATTCGTTCGACTCAACTGGGTTAAACATGAGAAGCACATACTTTGGACTTCAATAGCTCCATTGCTTGCAAGTCCACATCAAGCTCAGAACCAAACTGCGCGGGTGTTGTGCGTTGGAGATGTGTTAGTCTTTGGCGACTGCAGGAACATGACTCTGACCATCGATGAGGTTGCCAAGATGACGGATACTGTCCATGCAGCTTGACATTGATGGATCACAAAGGCATACAAGGGGCCTTTGCAACCACGAGTCACACCGGAGTCACACCTGTTCTTAAATTTGTTGTTTTAGTGATCCTTTTTGCAAGTCTTATGGCCATCGCTACTAGGGTTGAGAGAGACTGCATTCGACCTCCTAAATCATCCTTTGGCGCACGCTGGGCACTTGCGATGCCGTGCTTCTCTAGGTGCCGTATCCCCTGTAAGAGGTCTTTGGTCTTGAAGTACCCCTTGCGGCCTTGCCAGAACTTACAAGAAGGTGCTGCTACTTTCTTTGCCAATGCCATGCTTTGAGGTCATTGTGCACGAAAGCAACGATGTGGCGGTGACCGTGAGGGCCAAGGGCATTGGAACTCCAGTGATGTGTCGCGAGCCGCTGCTGTGTCTGAAGCGACCGGTTTGTGGCTTTCGAACGGCCAAGGGGGGTCGCATCCTAGAGGGTGCGTTTGGTGTTTGAGGAGCAGTCATTGGTCCTACGGAAGATCGCTGTATTACCGGGCAGACGGCATCTTTTAGGCTGAAGGATGTAGAAGTGCTCGTCCTTCAGCCTGGCAGGGGGGCATACTTCGGTCCGAAGACGCTAGGGAGAGAGAGAGAGAGACTGAGGGAATCAGAACCTTCAAATCTGGGCCTTCAACCTACTAGCGATGGCCTCCACCTACTAGACATGGCCTCCAACCTACTATTGATGGCCTCCAACCTAATAGCGATGGCCTTCAAATTAGCTTCAAGCAGGGCACAAACGTACAAGTGACCAAGTGTGGGGTTACCAGGTCTGAGATTGGCGATGCTCAAGCTGCAACGCTTAAGGCTGGAGGTCATCGATTTTGGGACGCAGTACACCACACAGACGCACTCCAAGGAGTTTGTGATAGAAAACAGAGGGCGGCAACCAAGAAAGCTTGTATGGACACTAGAGCCTCTTGGTATTGAAGTGGCTTTTGGGCTGAGTTTCTTTTTGTTTGTGTTCCTGGGTGTCCATATACAGAAGAAGACACTGCCTCAAGGTCCACCGAGGCCAAGAGGAAGGAGCGGAAGCTGGAAGAAGGCCGGTCTTGCTGGAAGAAGCATGAACTGAGTACTCAGTGAGCACTCAGCTTACTCCTTCAGAGGGGCAAAGCTGGGTCAAGAGAACCAACTGCCGGACAAATGATTGGCGAAACGATTGCTATTAGAAACACGTGCATCGCTACTAGTAACAAGTGCCTTACTAGTAGTAACAATGTTGGCTATTAGAATCAAGAAGCCAATGTGGCAGTTTAATTGACTTATGGCGAAACGATTGCCCTCTGGTGGAAAGCATGTTTGACATCACTTCCCCCTTGGCGGTTGGGACCTTTTGCGGATCACTGATTTCTGAGTCTCGATGTGCCATGATGTACCTCAAGATATGGCTCCAGGGAGGGTCTCAAAGGGATAAGAGATGGAGTTGACGTCCGCTATTTGAGCTTGTTGCTCTTTGAACCCCCTCCCCCGTCTTGGGGCCAGCATTTCCCAGCACATACACTTCGTGGAGAGTATTCAATTTCACCCACGAGCTGATATTGCAATCATACCCCCCGCTTAGGCCCAGTGTGCGGAGGCTGAAATGCAGCAAAACACACAGTCTAGGTAGAAGTCCAGGGCACCCCAAAGTGGATATTACATGTTTCAAATTGAGGGGGCGGCTTACATTTTTCACCCTGGTTTGGTGGATTTGGTGGATTTGTGGACATATCAAATTTCAAGGGCATTACTACTAGGAGCACGAAGTTACTAGTAGCATTGTCAAGAACCCGGATTGCTAGGTGAGACATCTGTCTTCTCCGTGGTTCCAGATACTCTGCCGGGCGCCCCACTGCGCATTCGTTGAACAGATCTGTGGATTACAGTCTTCCAGCAATGCATGGTAGAGGCTCATGGAGCTCTTTGCATATGTGCCTGTGTGCTAGTTTTGTGTTTTGTAGCATGACAGGCCATACGCGAGTCCGGCACAAAGCCCGTTTTTTTCCTCTGCGGCCGCTCACACCCAAACCAACAAACCTCAGTGTCACGAACCTCGCTCAATGTCCGTTCGTGTGCATGTGGGCGATGCAACGAACGATGTCAGATTGGTCAGAAGGCCAGGAAGATGACTTCGCGGCATCCAGAGGATGCCTTCGATTCGCGTCAGAAGCATCCCAAAGCACGACGGGACAGCCAACGATCGAACGAGCGAAAGAAGAGACATTCTCGATATTCACAACGATCAAGAATTTCACAGAGCTCCCGAGATGACCTTGGAAACTTTCCTTGGAATGTCGAATGGAACCAGATTCTTGAAGCCACTGAAGCGCCAGGGCCGCCAGAGGTTCAACCAGAGCGAAAGAAGAAGTCAAGGTGTTGCAAACGGATTCGCACTTGCCTTTACTTGCTCTTTGTTGCAGCCTACATCATTTTAGTTGGCGTACTCGTATCACTCCTTATGTCAGAGCGGGAATTATTGGAGGCACCTGGTCATGACAGTCCAGAATGCCAGGAAAAGCTGTGCCCAATTCACAGCCCCTGCCAACTAAAGTCGGGCGAGGCAACATGTGTTCCTACATCAGTTGCAAACCTTCGAGCCATTGAAGCAATCTTGGGAGTTGTGGTTGGCCTACCCTCGGTGATTTGCATTCCTTGCACCATCCACTGGCTTTGGAGACGGTGGCGTGGGAAGTCCTGGGGCAAGAAATCTGCAGTGCCAGCGCCCAATTCCACGGATCTTGAAGCAAGGAATGATCTTGAAGGAGCGCAGACGGCGCGTGCTGCAATTCTCGGGAAGCCTCAGATGCATCATTCTGAAGTGTTGGGATTTGATCCCCAAGGGGCTCATTCCCCACCACAGGGCAGAGAACGAGAGCACCACAAGGCGTCATTGGCGAAGCACGATGATGGCTTAGACGACTTGTTCAAACCTTTGGCCAAACATCCAGTCGAAGCAGCCGAAGACGAGCTGGACTTTTTGTTTGCACCGAACCCAAGGGTGAAGGCAAGGAAGGAGAAGGAGAAGGAACCGAAGGAACAGCTGGAGAAGGCAATGGACACCGTGGCTGTACCGCTTGGAGAATCCACTGGCCCTCAAGGCTCCGAGTCCGAGTTCAGCGCCTTGTTCCAGCGTCGCCTTCGGCCAAGTCCCCCAGCCGAGGAGGTTCACTCGGAGCTGCATTCCAACTTCTCTGAAGGGGTGAGCGTGTTCTTCGCTTCGATGAAGAGGCCCACTTCAATGCCGAAATCTACGAAGTCGACTGCAAGCTCTCATGGCTCTCACCATTCCGAAGCGTCTCGGGATGTCTTCCGAAGTGTTTCGAAGCTTCAGGAAGAGGCGGAAGTGGATGATTTCCTTGACGAAGAGCTCGGGGATCCACCCGACTTCTTCAGCTTTGCGCAGAAGATTGCACTCAAAGCCGAGGGCTGCGCACGTGTGGATACCTTAGAAAGGGCCACATCGGAAGATTCATTGGGACACTTGGAGCCAGATGATCTTGCTGACATGTTTCACCCACCCGTGGAAAACAGTCGAGCAGCGTTTTGCATTGATTCAGGAAACTGTCAATGCTGTTGATGTTCAATCCCTGCCGGGGGGAGAGAGAGAGAGAGAGATAGATTGATTAGCGCTCATTTCAGGCTTTTGGATGGCAAGTGCGCTTTCCGCTTTGTTTTCAATGCTTCGAGCCCAAAGCCTGGCTCGCTGGTGGACACGCTAACCTGCAACGAGCCACCTGGCATAGCATATTCTCACAGTGTGCGGACTGTGTCTCCAACCTAATTGTAATGGCCTCCAACCTATTTGTAATGGTCTCCAACCTAATAGCGATGGCTTCCAACCTACTAGCGACGGTTTTGACAGGGAAGGGTAGCTGCATCATGTCGCAAGGCTTTGTGGTGATGATCGGAAGGGCAAAGTGATCTTCCGCTCTGAATTGAGTGGCAACTTCGCGCCTGAACCGAGCTGAAGGGCAGTGCGTTCGCTTTTTTGCTTGGAGTAATGCCCTTCGTTACCTTTGTTACTAGTAGCGATGCCCTTGTTACTAGGAGTAATAGTCATGCCCTTGTTACTATAGGAGAGAGGAGCTACTAGTTCTTTCCGGTTTCTTGACTGGACCACCGAGGTGCTGCCTTTGCTTGAGCTATCTGCCACAAGCGTGTGCTTCCGTGCTTTTGCTGCATTTGGCCCACATGGCGTCCAACTAAACACGTGGGGGTCCTGTCATTTCGATTCTTCGGTATTGTGCTTGCATGGATGTTTGAGAATCGATTCATTTCCTGGACTGGCTCCCAAGATATTGCCTGTTTTCCTCACTCACATGTTCAGAAACAGGTGTTTGGCCATGCTCTAAGGCTATTTGTGGGAGCGGAACTGTCCGCTCCATCCATTGTCTGAACCGCTGGCAGCTTTCTGGCAAGAGCACCGTCGCTTTCATTGTTGCTTCCATCTTTGTTGCGGCGAAAGAACTATCAAGAACCACTTTCCTGTGACCTGCAGGACCAAGAACGAATGACAGGTAGAACAAAAAGAAAAACAAACCTAAAGTTCATTATATAAAGTTCTCAAGCTTCTTAAAGAAAAAAAAGGTAAAAGGAATACAAACTCTTGTGAGAACGTCTCCAAGGTCCTGAAGAACGTCTCACCATTAGAGGCAGGACAACCAAGCTGATTCATTTTTGTCGTTGTTTTGCAGGGTGGTCAGCAAGGCGTTTGAAAGCCTGTTGATGGCATAATAGAACCTTGCATATGCCATATGCAAGTCCGCTTTGAGCATGCATGTTGATGCTCGGGGAGCTTGATTTGTGTTTGTTTGCAAACAGTTCCTTGGCTCGAGCTGGGCCAAAAAGTTTGTGGAGATCAAACTCTACCCGCCATGATTGTCAGATGAAGCCACCTTCTTGGGATGTTGCCAGGAGAGGTGCTGCTTCGAGTAAGAATTCAGAGTCAAGCGAACTAAAATATGTAGTGATAGGTAGTGATGTTGTTCTTACAGAAATATCTAATGTTCTGTAAGCTTGCCAGGACTTGTGGCATCGTGGCATTGGCCCTTTTGTTCAGCTATGACCGGACTTTGATGCTGCCTGCGGGTGTGAAGAGGACCCGTTGGGCGACCAAAAGGTTGCTATGAGCCAACTTTATTTGCATGATAAATGCTAAATCATTAAGTGTCCCATACCACTGGAAGAAGGTTGGGGCCCGGTTCGGGGTTGCTTCTAACCCCTATGAGCCTATGAGGTGCTAATTGCTGCCTGGTTGACTGCCCGAAATCAGCACGTGGTAGCTTTCGGAAGTCTTCAGCCCTGGCAGGCCGCCGCCTGCACCGTTGGCCATCCGACAGCGAACCAATCGGCTTCGTGATCCTCAAACGGGTCACATGGCTTCCAGGTGTAGACCCTGAATGAAGCTTGTTACTAGTAGTAAGAATGCTCCCAGTAGTATGGCCAGGAGCCCTTGTAGCGTCCCCTGAAACTCGCCTTTTGAACATTGACCCTCCTGAAGCTTGCTGATAAGCGATCGGCAACCACCAGAACTTCCGAAACTACAGGAAATGGCACAACTACCATCCAACAAAGTTCGATTGGACCATTAAAGATTCTTGAAGGGCACTCAAATGAACAAGACTCAATATCCCGCAAGATTCATCAAATACCTTCAATACAGGTGGTGTGAAGTAGCGCACGGATGTTCTTGTTATAGCAGCTAACATGAACCTCGATGTCTGCCCAGGCTTCCAGCGGCCTGTGCCCAAGGAGGCAGACTTTGCCCTGGACATTTTTCAGCGGACCTTTCCAGAAGTTACCACAGAGGAGCTGTGAGTGTGACATTTTCTGATAGCAAATCTGCATAAATCTGGTAGATATGAGTCATATGACGTCATATGACTCACTACATCATACGACCACATCTGATAGAAAACTCAGCTTGGGAGCTCTGAGAGTCGCCTCCAGGAGCACATCCTCATAAGGCGCTGGGAGGACATTGTTGACTTCTTTCAGAGCCCGGAGCTCGTCAACCAGCTGATAGAGGAGAAAGCGCATGATCCCCTAATAGCAATGGCCTCCAACCTAATAACAATGGCCTCCAACCTGATAGCGATAACCTCCACCTTTTGGTTGCGTCAAGGTTGCATCATGGACAAAACAGGGGCCTTCCAGGAAACATGAAAGAACTCGGGGCCTTAAGCCTTCAGGTGGCTTCTTCAGCCTTGATTGAACTTGGATGGGCTAGGCTAACCCTGACTACCTGGTGGTCATGCCTGGACTGTTTGCGTGATACTGCGAGGATGAGCCATCCATCTTGCGGTGGCCTCGAAGAATGGCGAGGAATGCTCTTCACTACCTGGAGATCTACTTGGGTTATGAGGCCTGTTGGTCAGACATCCATCATGCTTGCCATTGTTTTGCATTTGAGGCAGCTAGGGAAGCAGTTTTTGAATGCCCCTACTTGCTGACGAAGAACCCGAAGCGTCTGCGTGAGTCCCTGCCGGCTCTGATTAACGTGTTGGGAGCCTCACCTGCAAAAATACAAAGAAATGAGCAGAACTATGAGCGGAACCTAAATCTAGAGTTTCAAGTTTCAACTAGGTTCGTTCTTTTTAAAGACGGTGTTTCTTCTTTAGAACTTTAGAGTTTCAGTCCTTCGATGTCAATCGCGTTTGTCCCAGAATGGATGCGGACCTGGTAACCGGAAGTCAGGATCGAAGCAGCGCCTATGCGAAGTCATTACGAAGTATCCCCAGCTGGCAAACATTCCCATTGGTGACTTCTACAAGGACTGACATGCGGCATGAGCGAACGAAGCACGAACGAGGTGGTCACGGCCGAACTGTCGGTGAGCCTCACCTTCCAACGGCCCAACTGTCGAACCAGTTGGAATGCCAAAAGGAACGACAAAACATTGAGTTTAGGGGGAGCCGACTTCCCACCGAATGGTTTTGATCCTCCACCCCAACCTAAGAGCGACGGCCTCCGACTCCAACCAAATTGAAACCATTCAAGAAACTGTTTTGGAATCGAAAGACTCGAAGAGCGGATAAACAGTGTCATGTTTCTGTTTTCAAAAGCCCCTAGTAGCGTCCTTGCTCCTAGTAGCGATGCCAGGAGCCCCTAGTAGCGTCCTTGCT